TTAAATTAATATGCAACAGAAATGACAACGCTAAACCGCTCTGCCTTATTTCTCTACCGAGCGGTTTTGATGGAGCGATATTAATCAGAGGCAGAAGAGACAGAAGTAATTCTTGTAAAAGTGGTGTGGAAACATTAAAAAAAATGCCGAACTTATTGCAGGCTTATATCAGAATTCATTTGGCAACACATTTTCAGTTTGGTGTGATTTGCTAGAAGGTGATTGGTGGGACCTAAATACATTTCAGGTGCATCAAAACAAAAGGTGTACAAAGTCTGACCGTTTATTTTCTTTGGAAAGCTGTCACATCCTGAGTAGAAAAGCCTGTCTTCTGCAAGCAGCTGCAGAGAAGGACTTTTGCTCTGTGTGGAAGCAGTGGTCTCTTTGCAGAGGTCTGACCATGGGTGATAGCTGGAGCTCTCCAATCAACAAGTATGAGATTTGCTGATTGTAGAGGTCCAACATGCTCCTTGTGCTAAAGTTATCCAGAGAGTCCACTGGTTCCACAAAGCAAGCCAAATGTCCTTCTCTATAGCATGCTGGCAGGAGAGGGGCCAGGATGTATTTTTTGGAATGTAACATCTAAATCCATTTTCCCCACAGTATAATATTATTCTCAGCGACATGGACAGAATCTATTCAACAGCCAAAGTGTGCCCTCCCGGCCAAACTACGGACTGCTGGTCTCTGGAACCAGGTATGCATTTTTTATGACTTCTAGTGACACTGAGGCGAGCAGAGTACAGGAACTTTGTGTATTTAAAGTGAAAGGCCGACTTTAAAGGAAACCTTCCAATGAGGTGAACATGGAAGCTGATGCTGCTGACCTCTCCTTCTGAACATGCTAATTATCTGGTTGTTATGAGTACTCTCTGGCTTCAGTACTTTGAGCCCTTATATGCATAATGAAGAAAGTGGGTCAGCAATAACAGCCTTCATATTTCTCTCATGGCAGGTTTATATTCAGGTTGTTAAATCAGTTAAGCTCCAGAGCCATAGTTTTGCATTTATCCTATAGGTCTATTCTGTAATTACATTATTATAAGATTTTTTTTTTTGGGGGGGTCAGGGGTGTAGACCTGAACAAGGAAAATGAGAGCACCACACTGACCCATTCTGGCCAGTATGGTGTGTGTGGGGTTTTTTTGTTGTTGTTTTAAGATGCAATGTAAAAAGCCATTGCATTTTGGGGGCTCTCAGATACCCCTTCATCAGTTCTTGTATGCTGGCTATAATGTACACTAATACTGGACAAGTAATTATGAGAAATTAAGATTATGTAGTTCCAGCATAGGATGCCTGTCAGCCTGTTAATTTAACTGGTCACATGGGTGGAATACGGACTTTGGGCCAGAGCTTCAGATTAGGGAGATTATGGAATCATAGAATTTTAACAAAATTATAGATTTAATCACTTGTCATTAAAAAAAAAAAAAAAAAAGAAATTGTACACTTGGTGCAATCTTCTCTTTGTCAATTAGGTTGATTTGAAAGCACTTTTCACTAAGACAAAATAAAACTATATATTCCATGATCCCTCTGTGCTCTCCGAATCAGGTGTGTGTGTGTGTTTTTAAATAAGGGCAGTTGTGGTTAAAAACATTATGAATCCATACAGGTTGGCTAGTAGAAGTCCTATGAAAGGGTACAGAGTGCTGAGTTTAACTTATAGGCTATAATAAGATGTTTGTTTTATAGTGATAAATGATTTTTCTTGTTTTAGAGCTTACTGAGATCATGGCAACTTCACGCAGCTACAAGAAGTTACTGTATGCCTGGGAAGGCTGGCATAACTCTGCTGGAAAACCACTACGGAGCAAATATGAACAATTTGTAAGGCTCAGTAACAAGGCTTACAGCTTGGATGGTAAGTGATAACTGGGTGCAGTGAGTTACTGAACCATCTGTAATGGATCGCGATGCTAGTGGCAAACCTTTTTTTAAACTGAATGTTTCTGGGAAACATTAAAAAAGCTCTTATGTAATTGTTAGTGTGCAATTTCCTTCCTTCCTTCCTTTTGTCAAAGGAGGAGCCTCCTCCAGCACCTGGTTCTAAATGAAGTCACCCATTCTCAGGCATTACCTGCAGCTCTGGAAGGTATACTGCACCTGAGAAAGCTGCAGGACTTGCCAGGGATGGAGTCATAGCAGTTGAAGCCCTGCTGGAAACCAGAGAAGATAAACAAATTGTGGTGGCTGCATTGGTTTTCTTGGGCTCTTTTTTTTTATTTTCACCTGGTGATCTGGTCAGTAACACACTTCCTGTCTTAGGGCGTCTTCACTCTGGAGGAGCGACAGAGCCACCTTTGGACAGCAGTATTTGTCAACCTGTGGTGGGCGGAGTTTTTTAGATGCACTAGCAGATTTAGATAGACTTGGGATAAAGATTTTACATAAATTAATAAAAGATAACCATTGTTGGCACCAGTTAAATGGTTTGTCTCGATCTGCTGGACAGCTTGGTCTGTTAAAGGAAGTTGAAAAATGTCAGACCTGCTGGCTGTATAACCAGGTGAAAATAAAGGGAAAAGGGCAAAAGAAAAAATGCAGCCACCACATTTAAGGATTGATGACCTGCAATATAATATATTTTTGCTTTTGTGTTTTAGATGAGCTTTAACAGTAAATACTCATACTACGGGCAGGGGTGTATCTACCGCAAGGCAAACTAGGCATGTGCCTAGGACGGCACTTTCCAAGGGGGGCGGCAGAAAATGCTGCCCCAAACCAATAAGGTGGACAGGTCTGGACTTGCCTTTGGGCATACTGGGCACTTGCCGAGGCTTGGCGGCACAATCAGGCAGTGGCGGCTACCTAATGAGGCAAACTAGGCAGCCGCAAGGCCCTAAGAGTGGCTGCCTATGTAAAAAGCTGCCCGGAGGAGGGGAGGGCCCAGTGAGTTGCGGTCCGGAAGGCTTTGTACAGGAGGTGGAGGAGAAGAAGTGAGTGGCTTAGGGCTGGCCATCGCATGTGATCTGATGGTGGGATGTCCCAGAAGCAGGCTGGGGACTGCAATGTATCCTGTTGGTACTGATGGCACTTCGAGCTGCAGGTAAGAGGAGCAGAACATCTATGCAGGGAAAGGGAGTCTGCACAGTTCTCCTGAGACCCTACGTGTCCTGCACAGGGTGGGTTGGGGCAAATTTAGATTGAGGGGGTGCCCGAGTTTAGTCTTGCCTAGGGCAGCACAAAACCAAAATACATAAAGATATACATGCTTAAAAAAAAATACACCACTGACTACGGGTTGTAGTGTTTCTGGTAACACAGTAGAAGCACACGGTACTTTATACAATGTTGAGGCTCTTTAAACAAGGCATTTACCTATAATTTGGTATGAGGGAACTGTGTTGTGCATCAAATATATATTGCACTGATATATGTAAACTTCTAGATATGACTGTGGTACCATATGTGCAAAAGGTTGGATAATTCAATATCGGAACTTATAAACGCACACAGGCACGCACTTCTTTTAGACCACTCCACATTCAGCAATGGCATGCGCTTATTGCTCTTTAGTGAGTTATACTTTACCCTGATCCTGCATATATTGCTTTTTTCTGTTCCATTTTATCTTCTCGTTTATGACTTAACACCATAACTGTGCTCTTGTATTCTGTCCACACCACATTCCATTCTGCATCTTGGCAATCATTTGTCAGGACTACGTGTTCATCATTTATCTGTGTGTACTTTGGTGCACTCCTTTTGCACTCCTCCCAATGTGATGATTAATATGTGGTGTTATCATTACTGAATGACTGCCTCATACAAATAACATCCATACATTCAAGAAACAGCTTGGAGATCCCTAGAATAGTAAACGAATACTTGGGGAAAGGAAGGTTTGGTAAAAGAAAAAAAGTTCTGAAGGAGGGTCCCCTATTTTTTAACTTTTAGACAAAATTGTAGTTTTTCCCCAGAAAAGGGGATCCCATCATTCCTTCAAACAGTCTAACGAGCATTTATAAAAATATATATTTATTAATTGTAGAAATACTAAAAATGGTTATACACAACATAACATTTCCTAGATATCACAAGTATCAAAAATATCAAAAAATATATCAAAAGAAATAAAAAAAACACACAAAATGCAAAAAATGCAAAAAATGCATTCAGCTAATAAATCTTTAGCAAATATATTATGGAACAAATAGTGTGGAGGCACACCGCGTAGAACGCCTACTGTTCTCAGATGACAGAAAAAGCTGGTATCAAAGATGTGTGTATATATATATATCTATTTTTTTGGTGTTAAATGTCTCCATATGGACGAAAAAAAGGAACCATATTCATGGAAGAAAGAGAGCTCTGTATTTCAAAAATATGACATACATATGTATGAAAAGCGGCATTTATCAGGAATTGGAGTTATAAGAAAAAAGAGATTCAACTCACGATGGAATGTGTCCTCATTTGAAGGATCGACTTGGAAAAGGGAAAGACCATGGGAGTGATTTACTAACCTAAACACACGCACGCACTAGGTGCGTGTGATTACTGATGTAGTTGTATCCAATCAAAGAAAATAGGAAATCCAGGAGATGTAGTTATATCTCGGCTCTGTGCGTTAGTTGTTTCTGAGACTTTGCCTTTACTGGATTGCTGTGTTCATTTTGTAGGATTTGTTTTCTTTTCGATGAAACCTATCCTTCTTTTGGGGATCAACTTTAGAAAGAAAAAGGAGACAATATATCTGCTGATGTATTTGCATCCAATCAAGGGTGGTGGGAAATCCAGGAGATGTGGTTATATCTCGGCTTTGTGCGTTGGTGATTATAGATCTTTGCCTTTACTGGATTCCTATATTTATGTGGGATTTATTTTCCTTCCAAAGTGATTAAAAAGAAATGATGGTAGGCACAGAAAACGTCTTCTATCCTGAGAAGGTTACAAAGTAGCTGAGTATCTTTATTCCTATAAATGCAAATACGGAAACTTGAAAGACGATTGCCGTCAAATGTAACGAAAACGTCAAAGTAATTATAGAGGTTTCAGGAGATGGCACTATCTCGGCTTCTCTGTTGGTTCTGGAGATAAGCATCACTGAAGAAATGCAGTCTCTTTTTTTCATTTTCTCTACATAGGAGGCTTCAAACGAAGAGGTTATAATACCTGGTTAGAATAATAGATGAGTGGATATCTCAGGCGAAAGACACAGTGCGGCCTCAGCTGAGGCAGCCACACAGAGAAAACCTTCACTGAACGCCTATGACGCGTTTCACCCCCTCCCACACCGGGGCTTCATCAGAAGGGTGTTGTTCAGTGAAGGTCTTTTGGTTTTCTCCTCTAAAAGGATTTCTTAAGTGATTTAATTGATAACATATGAAGCGTGTTTGGAGCGCATCATGTTTTTTATGTGTCCCCACAGGGCACGTTTCTTTCAACCGGAAAGGAATTTAATATTACAAAAAGTGCTGGAAAGTTATATATATGTCCAGAGTGAATTAAATTACATTTTTATACATAAATGTTTTTTGGGCTATTCATTTTCAACAAGACAGGTTGAGTTATCACAGACGTATGTTGTCCAGAAAATGCAAATAAAATTCATATATAGCGATGAATCTATATTTGCTACATACTTTCCTCATTGTGTTCTTTTTGGATGGCACGGAAAACTTTATAATGAAGCAGGGAAAATGATGATAGAATATATATGTACATTATGAATGCGTATGAATAAATAATTAGACATATATAAATTTCGATTACTATTACATGTACTTCATTTCTCTATACTGAAAAAAGGGGTGAGATTTTCAACTCCAGAAATAAAAGTGTGTTAGTTTTTTAGGGAATTTTTCCCTCAATGTTTCTGGACCTTCAAGGTTTTCCGTGACATTCCGAACGACACAAGAAAGAGACATAAAGCACATAGCAGAAAAGAAGAGAGAAGGGCGCCCACCCTAGTGTAGATGGTTTTTAATAATGTGAGCTAAAGTACAAGGTAAAAACATACTCACAATGAGAATCAGTAAAATCATATGAAATGAGCCAGAATGATATCTGAATATCAGCTGCACAGATGCCTGTGTATCAACACAGGACTCCTTTTGATGATGCGTTTCCGGGGCCACGCCCCCTTCATCAGAACATGTTGATGATGTTCTGACGAAGGGGGCGTGGCCCCCGGAAACGCGTCATCAAAAGGAGTCCTGTGTTGATACACAGGCATCTGTGCAGCTGATATTCAGATATCATTCTGTCTCATTTCATATGATTTTACTGATTCTCATTGTGAGTATGTTTTTACCTTGTACTTTAGCTCACATTTTTAAAAACCATCTACACTAGGGTGGGCGCCCTTCTCTCTTCTTTTCTCCCATAGTGTTGCAGCTTCCCAGGCTGAAGTGGGGCAGAACTCCTAGTTATCCTCGCTTGCACTTTATTTTCATCTGTTGGTCATCATTGGCGCTTTGAATTTTTTTTTTTTTCTTACATATAGCACATAGCAGTTTATGCCTTTTTTATAATTTCATTTTGAAGAGCAAACATTTCTCTAAATATACACATGCATCCCATACAGATACATGTCCGTGATTCCTTTATAAAGAGAAAGCGATTTCAATTTGGGAAAGGACTCCAAACATGAAGGCCAAAAGGGAAAGAAAAAGGGGGGGTCTAGGTCATAAAAAGCAACTAGAATTGATGGCTTCATTAATTCCTGGTTTTTCATAGGACCTGGTGGAATGGATCCATTTACATTCTCTTTGGAGGAGGAGTTTGTCCCAATCTCCCCCTCTACTGGGTACATGAATTCTGTCCACGACAAAGAAGCTAAGTCCTTTAGTTTTCCCTCCATGTGCATGTACCATGTGTCTGGCAATAGGGGACCTAAGATCATGTGCCCCAATGTCA